TCGCTTCAACCATCGGTATTATTATGCTGGGTCACGTAAACGGAACGTTAGAGTTTTATACAAATAGAATAAGCTAGACGCCACCGATAGCTGCCGTGCGTGCCAAATACACGAAACTGAATACCAGTGCAGATAAACTTTGATATACTTTCTATAGTACACTAGAAGTGTATTCATAGTTCTTTTTTTACACGTCTGCACACGTAAAGTAATTGTTTAACCAGAAATTTTCACAGTACGGAGAAGAGTGCAAAGAACTTGTCAGCCAAATTCCAAAGCGGACCTCGGCTAATCGTGGTTGGCAGTCTCCCAAAGGTCGGACAACTCATACTCCGTAATTTGGCTAACTGTTATCACAAACGTTACACGAGAACATTTATAACAGTAAAGGTTAAGGCACCTTGTGGTTAGTCATCTGTTATTCTCCTTGTGCTATTTCGAAATGATCATGACCGCTCGATTCCCGGAAGGTTTGCGGTCTTTGTAGAACCAGAAGTAATATGTTTGATTGTTACTTGTAAACGGCATTCCCGACATTTGTTCTTTGCGTTTTCCTATTTACTATAGCAATGATTTTGGATCTTCAACTTCATTAATGTGAATCAGCTATCGCGTAACCATTTAATATTCTGTACTTAACAAACATTTAAGTGTTTGATCAGTGTTTTTTTCACTAATAAATCGTAAATATAATGGTGACTCTGCTAGCCGCCTCCTGTACGAATATTGCTGTCACGCTTTTTTTTACAGATATAAAGAAGGATGACATTATTTTTTTATACTGATGTTGAAATGTTCAAAGAAACAAGAAGATACAATTCACTATGTTGATTATAATAAAATATTGATAACTTATATGCAATAAAATCTTAGAATTATCTGAAGTGCAAAAACAATAAATACGACAAGTTAGGAATTGCAAAAGGAAGTAATAGAACGGGGTCAAGTGGATAATAAGGGAGTAGCGGGATTGAAGATGCAGGAAATAGTTTCTTAGAAGCTCTTTCAACGGAGCTTTTGCTTTGGTTTCCGACGAACTTGCGATATGCTTCAGATATTTGCAAAGTTTTTCTTATATAATATTACACTTATTATACAAGATAAATTCAAAGGTACACTTTGAATTTGTCTACATTTGATATTCTATTGCTTCATCGAAAAGAAAATAATTTTCAAAATACTAGTTCAAAACATATTGTTATCTCTCTTACTCTGATAGAAATAACAGGGACAACAATACTACGTATGTTTTATTAAAATTACTGTAGTTGAATAATACGGTTATATCGTTATCATTTACTAAATCTATTTTTTACTTCTTATTGTTACTAATATTATAAATGTGAATATTTATATGGATGGATAAATGTTTGTTACAAGGAATCTCCAGAACGATACTCTGAATCTCGATTAAATGTCATAGAATCTGGACGAACACATTAGCTACTTACGAAGTTTTTTAAATTCTGCGGGATCGAAGTCGCAGTTAAAATTTCTAATACTTTACTACGAGTATGTTAATCGAAGCATCCTCTTACATTGTATCACAATAGAATATCGAATGTATCTCCCATATTTATTCTCTAGAAATTATATCCTCAGCGATATTTTCCGTTTTCAATAACGTTGGAAGTACTGATTCTACGCACGAATAAATAAAGCAATATTGAGAACGTGTCCTTGATCGACGTTCAAATTGTTTCATTCCTCAGACATCTGTAGGCTGGTGGCGTTCGTGACGGAATACTAATATTTTATTATTTTAATATCACGACCGCTACTCAAAATTCGGAGACATTTCATTTCATTTTTCAAGTAAGAAAAATATTTTAATAAGTACTTTACAAAAGAGATCTTGGATTTATCTTTCAAAATTAATTCAAAACTGCAAATCATATAAAGTAAAATAAAAAAAAACATTTAATCTTATCAACACTACAACACAATTAGGAATTAGAAAAAAAAAAGAAAGTAATTAAGTAACAAATAATAAACACGTAATTAAAGGGCGAACGAAAAATTTAAAATGAGTATTGCTATGCTGAGCGGATTGGATCCTCGCTGTAAATGCTGGATGCTTCTAATTGAAGTACCTAGCGCTGATCTTCCGCGAGAATTGAATAAAATGTACAGATATAATCATATTTTCTTCAAGGGGAATGAAAAAGCGTACCACGTTTTTGGTTATGACCACCACCACCATGACCACATGACGAATCGATTAGCGAACAGCACTATAATTTGTTTATGAGATATCGTTATTATGCTCTGTTATTTAAAAAATACTGCCATTTATTAATCTAATTATTGTATTACAGCAGCTAGTTATGAATAAAAAAGTTCCCGAAATAGCATTGAAATTATAAATTAAAAACTCTTGCCGGAGTGTAATTTTCACACATGTTTTCCCCCGCGGCGCCGACGCTCGTCACAAGAGCCTCTCGACAACAATACGTGTACACCCCGCACGTTTTCATTCAGCTTATCCAACTTATTAAATTTACATAACATTTTTTCCGGTTTCATTCTTTATAATAAAACTATGAATAGTAAAAGACGTCTAGTATAAGTTTTTTAGAAGTATATGTAATGCAAAATAAATAAAAAGGAAAGATTTGTAATTTTATATGTATTGAAGTAATTCAAAACCTACTGAACCGATTTGAAAAATTCTTTCGCCATTTAAAAGCTACGTTATCAGTGAGTAATATAGGCTATATATTTACAATGTTATTTTTTTTTTCAATATTACGCGGATGAAATCGCGAGCAACAACTGTTTATAAATATTATTGGGATCATACATAAATGTCTCATCAAGATTTGTACCTTTGTGTAGACATTTAGTGTCACGTTTTAAAGTTCAATTTAAAAAATGTCGAAGGAATACATTATTTATTAAAAATGCAATAGATTCAATCTAGTTCAAACCTTGTCAACAGTCGGATACAAACAACTTCACAGTCAGGCAAGAACGGCATTAATTCAACAGCAATAAAATAACAGTAGCTATAATTACGAAGTATCTAATAATAACAAGCCTTGAGCAAAAGGCAAAGGAAAGTTGAGACTTTTCTGTGAAGTCTTTGTGACGTTGAGGATAATTTAAAAGTAACCTTTGATGAAATATTTGCTTTTTTGGGTTTTTATAATTTCCACTCTGTCTTGTTTAGTTTGTTATTTCATCCGTCCCTTAATGTTTGAATAAAGGACCTTTAATAAATACACTTTTTCAATAAACCTTTGGCAGTTTTATTACTTTCTTTTGGTTTTGTCAAATATTTTATCAACACATTATTTGGTTACTTTGACTTTAGCACTGCAATATAAAGCCTGCTACAGACATCAGTTCTACCAGACAGAAATTAGTCTGTAGCCGGTTTAAGGCGGTGTCAGCTGGTTTCACAGACTTTGCAACATATAATATTGTTAGCAAAACCATTCTCTATGAAACACGCAGCACAAACATAAACACAATATAATTCAATCTAAGTCTGAAGCCGGATACGAGTGTGTTTTATTCATAAATTCAGAGGAGATTTTCAAATAAACAAGTCTTACAGGTTATACATTTAGCAGCGTTTGTTTCGATTTTTAAAAAGAATAATAGTACTTTAGATTGTATAGGAATGGCGAGCTTTTTGCTAAACTAAAAACTAATAAAATATTTTAACAGTGGTAGTGTCCGCTTTAACATCTTAGTACGAATGGGCCGGCACGCCCTGTGTAATACCACGACCACACAGAAAACAGGCGTGAAGTGGAAGCAATTCCGCGTTTCGTCTGATGAGTTTGGTGCCGGAGGCCTAATTTTAGTCCCTTTCCCTTTCCATCCCTTTCTTAAGAGGAAAGGATGGGAAGGGGAAGTGGATTTGACGGTGGAGGAGATGCATAAGAAGGGGAAATATCCTCTTTATGTGCATGTCCTCCTCCGTCGTATATGGGTAGGCAACGCATCTGCAATTGCGGATGTTTATGTGCAGCGGTCGCTTTCCATTTCGGTGGATTCAGGTGGCCGCTTGCTCGTTTGCCACCTTATGTTATAAAAAAAAATTATATTGTTTATAAAATAAATATATTGTATCAACCTAGGACTGAAAATAATTAAAACAGTCATTTGTTTTCCCGTTGTAAGAATAGAATAAAAAGAATAGTAAAAAAACAATTTAATAACAAAAAGAACTCTCTTTTCTCATATGTATTATTTTGTTAAGTGCTTTATATGTTCTCTTAATATTTGCTATTTTTTATATAACAAGGAGTTACGTGTTTCATAAACTCCTAAAGAAGGTTAACCTTGCTTGAAAATGATACAGTCTAAACGTAGGTGCCCACAGCAATATTTACATCACAATTATGAGAAAACCATTTTTGTATCTATTTTTACAACGATAATGAGAAAGATGACAACATATTTGTACAAAAATATTATTATTTTGAGTTGTGTAAACCCATTGTAAATTATTGTAAGTATATATTAATCTAAGCATGTTTATATTTGGAAGCAATTGATTTTTTTTATGCTGCTAAAAAAATTATCTTTTGTTCCATGTACCATGTTCGATGTACAACAATAAAGGTAAGGCGTTGTGTGAATTTTTAACCTAAAATAACCGTAAATTAAAAAATTATATGTTAACAAAATTCCGGAAGTTTTATGTTCATAATATAAATCAATTTGATGTTATCAATTAATTCTTAAATATGTAATCTCATGTTTTTACTAATCGTTTTTTTTTCAGAAAAGTTTAGCTACACTTATTAAAAAATCGGTATTAAAACTTCAAAATTTAAATCTAAAACAACAATATATTTCGGCAAAAAATAATATATCTTCTGACGGTCGGAAGTTTTAACCAGTTTCGTGTAAATTGATGGTTTTAGGTTAAAGTTCAAAATGTCATGACACTTGTCAAATGACAATAATAAATCATGACAGTTGACAACTAACAAAGTTATCACGGTTAATAATTGAATAATGTATGGTTTTATTATTTACAGACCGAGTGACGTTTAGACCAGAGCGTAAGTTGTCGGGTTTGTGCCGATATTTGTGTTTAGACGGATAAAGCGAGCTTTTAAACGCTAGTATAGAACTAATGCTTGCTGCTGCCTTTGTAGAACGTTTACAAACGATAAATACGGGCGATATTTAGAAGGACAAAAATTGGCGTACACTTTTACAAATAAATTTAAATTCTACTTAGTGAATCGTCATCGGTTATAAGTATGGGAGCAACAAAAGGAATAAGCTGAATCATTTCGTAAAAAGAAATGTAAAATACCTTTGTTCGGCAGAAAAGAAGCCTTTTAAAAGAGCCATTACAATCAATGGCCGTAGACGTAATGGCGGTAAACACTTCATACTGAATATGGACTACTTCTGGCTTAAAATAAAATTAATACGAACTCAGTTACATTCGAAATTTAAAATCAAAACGTTATAATTGGCATTTAAAATTGTAAAATTTATTTTTAAATAGAGAGACGGCATCGGATTTCTCCGGTAATAAGTAGAAATTAATATATTAAACCGCGCATCTGCTTGTTGTGTAAGTCTGTTTTAGAATTGTTTTAGATCTAACATTCGCTTGTAGTAGTGCTGTAAGTAACATATAGTTACAGCCAATTAACATCAGCTTCAAAGTATACGTAGAAAACTTCATTACCATAAAAAACGTAACTCAAAGAAACAGGTACAAGTACACATGGTTTTAAGAATTTATATCGCATTCAATCACATAATAACGGAAACGGATTCAAGAAAACTTAAACCTACGTATTTTATATCGAACTAGCTGTTCCCATGCGCCTTCATCCGCATGAAATTATAAATGTTTTATTTTATAGTTTACACGTGTCTAATTATCAGTAGCAATGTCAAAATGACATGACATGACAAAACTTGGCAATCTTGCTTCCTTTCCACATTAGGGATTTTATCGAAAATATTTACCTCCTAAGTTTAATGGCGTGAAAATATATAGCCTAAAGCGTGTCGTTAGTGTAGGGTTTTTTTAAGTAAAAAAAGAATTATTCAAAAATATGCCGTAATTGCTGACATCTTAGGCAAAAAAGAAGTGTGTGTTTACGCTTTATTATAATAGTATAGAAGATTTATTTTATTATGTGGTAGAAAATACGAAAAGGTGATAAAATCTAGACACACATGGGTCAAGAGCGAATATGAACAGTGTTAGCCAAAGAACCTGCTCTATCTTGTTTTATTTCGCTTCATCTATAAGAGAAATATTCCACAAATGAATTTTAAAACATCTTCAAAAATTAATAAATTTCTATAGAAATATCGTTTCAGTTAGATATAACCAATTTATATTTAGAAGTTCTCTATTTTATTACATTTATAACGAGCCCGCAAACTTCGTTAGCGCAAATTAGGCCCACACATACGCCATTTTAACAGCGCGAAATTAAAAAAAAAGCCTATATGCTTATCAATGTCAGCTACTCTCCAGTGAAAGTCCCGTCGATATCGGCCCAGCCGTTCCGGAGATTACACAGAACAAACGCGGCTTGCGGGCCGACAGGCAGACAGACAAAACATTTTTAAATACGATTTTCGTTATGAGCAACGCAAATACATCATCTTCCCGAAATCTTCTTTTCATTACTCAAAAACAAAATTGGAGTACAATTTTATTATATGTATACTTAGATTACTTACAATATAATAACTTTTTTTTTGTTCTGTATATCGTGCAATTAATTTTGTATCTTCATTAGCTATTATTATACAAACAAAGATGGTCCTAATTTTAATCCTATTGTGGTAAATGTAGATTATAATGTCGCAGATGAGATGGGGATAAGCCGATGGTAATAAATCGCCTTTAACACAACACAATAATAAAATACCATACGAACCTAAATAAATATATTAAAAGTAAGAATTTTCTTAACCAGTTTCAGAATTAGAATTTGGATACAATTTTTTGAGTGATTCAAAAAATTAAACAAATTAAACGGATTACGGTTAAATTCGTTTGTTTATTGTTTATTTTTAAATAAATAATTATCAGCAAATCGTAGTATATGTACAGAACCCTTCATGTCTGTGGACAGTGTACACTTATTTACAATTTATTGCTCTTTGACCATGTTCCAATTTCAAGGGAAATTCGCTGTCTTTGTTAATTTACATTCTAATATAGAACAAAACAGAACTTTTTTCAGAGGTTTTGTAAACCATGTTGCATGTAAAATATCAAGTCATAAATACTTAATACAAAAAATATGAAAAGCCTTACCGAAAATGGAATAATAAATATCAGAATCACATTCTATGAAAATGTCAAAAACCTCTTTTCGAGGACTACGCAATTTCGCTACAAGTAGCAACTACGCCCGTAGATTCGTAGCGTCGTAGCAACGTAGCATTCCCTTATCTCTAGTCAAATACCTTTTACAAATTGAATTTCAGTAAGAATGTATGTTGCTGCGAAAAATTCTAAGTACTCTGTGAACTTTCGCTCACAATTTCAGCATTTTAATTTTTTGAGAACTTATTTTTGCTACATTTGAAGTGTGCAGGGAAAAAATACCTTATTTTATAGTAGTTAGAGCATATTTTCTTCACTACATCATGGTAATTACGCTCATATATACAAAGAAAACTGTCAAAGATGACAAAATATTAACAAAGTTAATTTTAATTTATACAAGCTTTAATTTTAATATCATTATTGTTCTGGGGCTTAATTATGATAATCGTCCCGTAGTGAAGTGTAACATCGGGTTTCCCGAAGCCCGTGTCGACGGTGGTCAACCACACGCGGTTACAAAATCCTTTCACATATTTTCCCATTAAAGCTTTTAAAAGTATTAAAATGTTATGTAAATGAATATTAAGAACACTTCGTGTATTACTGAAATAACCGAATAAAAACATTTTGAATTTTTTAAAACAGAATTTTTAGTAGCAGCGAAAATTGACTGCAATTATTCATAGTAGCGAACTTGCATCCCGATAGTCTTTTACTTTTATGCGTCATTTCGTTTGTCGTCTCGCGCCATTCATAAGAAAATTGGCAACGGTAACAAATTTTTACGTTTCGTAACAACTTATTTATTACCCTAACAACAGCATTTACTTTTACAACTCTATGATATGAATATTTATATTGTAGTGCTGTGCTGCACTTCGTTTGGGTAACAAAAATAGAGCCTTGTGGCACAGTCAATTGGAACAAAAATAAATAGTTTTCTTAAAATATTGTAAAAAACAATAACAACGTATATTAGAACACAGAAAGGTTGGCCATCTGATTAATTTCAAATGCTCTAAAGACTGTATTAAACAAAGAAAAAAAAAGGCTACACAGGAGGTTTTAATGTATATTAGAACTTGTCTCTCTAACATAGTTAATGTTATTTGCTAAAACTGCGTCGGAAGCCATCAAGAGGAGAACGAATTGGACAGACATTTCTGCTAATAAAGGCATGGGCAAGAGATGATTCGCAATTGTTTGGCGTGCGCCAAATGACGTCAAAGGAACGTCGGCAAACGTTCCGTTGTACTCCTACGTCATTGTCAATGAAAACAACTGTTGTTTTTTTAATAATTAAGTATTTCTGGATATCCGGCTCTGGCTTTTACACTTTCATACTTGCTTAAATGCCAATTTATTTAAGTAATATAAGCTTACTTTGTACTACGAAAACACTATATAAAATTACAAGACCATCTACTAATTAAAATCGTTGTATATCACTGGTTAGACGAACTAATTGTAGTTGTATGAATATTAAAAATATAATAAATACCACAGCAATGCGAGCTATGTATAGATAAAGAATTTCTCTTCCTCAGTGGACGATAACGGATCAATATCAGAAACAATACCGGACCGCCCCGTCGAGCTCAAGAACTTCGCGAAGCTTTGCGAGCAAAGAAGAAAATTTCCAGTTCTTTATAAATTAGAATTTCAGGTAATACATTTTTAATCTTGAAGATGTAGATATTGTTATGTGCCTTACACTGGTTTGTTATTATTATAATGTTTATTCAATTGGTTGATTTAACTTTATAATATGAATTTAGTTAATTGTTATGTACATTGGCTTTACAAGTTTATTGCCATTATGATGAATAATATTGGAGTTAATAAGGTTGTTAATTTCAGTACTATTTCCCAACAGATGGCAGTAAAGGTAGAAACGCATTCTTGTCGACATGCAGCAAAGAAGACGAATCTACATAAAAATCAAAACCAGAAAGTATTACCTTGTAAGTGTGCCTTTTCCTCTTCTTGTTTACAACTTTAGTATCAAAACGAAGGATACCTTCAGTTACCTTCAATTTGCTTCTGTAGTAAATGCAAAACATTTTAAGAAAATAAAACAAGCGTTTATGAAATCAGTTGTTCAAAAAAACTATTTTTCTTCTATAAAATTTCATTCCTTTCGCTCAATTTGTTGACCGACTTCCCAAAAGAAGGAGGTATTCAATTCGTCGGTATATTTATTTTTATTTTTTTTTTATGTGTGTTACGGCATAACTCCGCCGCTAGTGGACCGATTTGGATAATTCATTTTTTATCCGAAAGGTAATGCT